TTTCATGCTGCTGAAAGATGATCTAAATATGGAATGTGATGAGTCATATTCCTTCATATAAGACAAACAGAAAGGACTTGTGCCTGCTATGGAAAAGATTTTTTCCGGATCAAAAAAAAGATTTTGTGTACGACATCTTACGGTAATATGAAAAGTGTTGGGTTCAAGGGACTTGCATACAAATGACTTATTTGGATAGCAGCAGATGCAACCACTGTTCCCGATTTCGAGGATGCTATGAAGGAAATCCAAGAGTTAGATGGAAGATGTATAGATTGCTTGGCCGACAAACCACCTTTGCAATGGTTGAGGTCACATTTTGCACATTTTCGAAGTGTGATATGATTTTGAACAACTTGTGTGAATCTTTCAACAGTATTATATTGGATGCAGGAGAAATGCCACTTTTTGCCTATGTTAGAATGGATTAGGAGACATTTGTTGTCACAGCTTGCAAAATGAATAGAAATAGTACTTAAAAAATGGAAGAATATGCAGTTTTGCACCAAAATAGTGAAGATCATGGAAAAAAATATTCGAGAAGCTTCATCATGTGTACCAGTTAAAGCCGATGATTGGACCTACGAGGTGGGTTGTTCTGATGGAAGCAGGTTTGTAGTTGATATTTTGAAGAAGTCGTGCAGATGTAGAAAATAGAAATTATGTGGGATTCCTTGTCGTCATGGAATGAGTGCCATCTGCGGACAACAGCTAGATTCAACGGACTTTGTTGACGAAGTATATAGTGTTGAGACCTTTAAAAGGATTTATTCATATTTTATTGACCCCATGGATGGAGTACAATTGTGGCCAAAAACTGGATTGTCTCCACCATTTTCACCTGTCATAAAACACCCTGCTGGCCGGCCTAAAACAACAAGAAGGCGTGACCCCGGTGGGAATATGGAAAAGGGATATACAAGGAGACAAAAAGGAGATAATAATCATTTTCCGAAATAGAGAAGATGAATAACTTGTAAATTTTGTGGTCTTATCAGTCACACACTTAAGGGTGTGTTTGTTTGAGGGATTTGTTTGGATTTTTACTATTCATCCTATTTTTTCTCCCAAAAAACATCAAATCAAACACCTAATTTTTATTTTTTATATTATACTAAAAATCAATTTTACATTCAAAATATCACATCAACACCTATTTATATTACATCATACACCTATTCAAATTCAAACTTTTTACTATTCAAATCCCAATCTAAAATCCAAACCCCCAAACAAACACACCCTTAGGGGTTGTCAATAGAGAAAAGCTCAGTTGTATGAATCAAATTCCACTGCGAGAATTACTCAAACTATTGAAGGGTTATTATCTCAAACAAGTGATATTCCTGCACAAGAGCTTCCATCGGGTGAACATGAGGAACCGCAAAGGGTACAAGCCCCCACAACAAAATTAACGGTATGATTTTGCAGTAATTATATTTGTATATACAACTCTTTATGAATAATCTATGAATTTCCATGCAATAGGTGAGGAAAAGAACTTTGACTCGAGGAAATACGCAAACTTGAATCATGTTGGAACGTCACATGGAAGACAACAAGAACACATTGATTTTGAAGATTTCTTAGAATAGATTATCATGTTTTGATAAATTGTAATGCTTGGACTTGTTTTGAGATTGCTCAGTATGTATGACATTTTGGTTGTAATGGGATTGGGAAATGAAAATATTGGATACGATTTTCATTGAATTTTATTTTTGGAAATTTTATGAAATTTGGAATATTGTATTGTAAATATATGCAATGAGAGTGTACAACAGAAAAAAGAAACAGCAGTAAAAAAAAAAAGAGATTTACACGGCCGTGTATAGTTTGACACTTGATATCTGCAGTTTACAGAGAGTTACACGGCCGTGTAATCGTACGCACACGGTTGTGTTCTTGTTAACATATTGGGATAGATTAATCCAGAAACTTACATAGCCGTGTGCACATACCACACGGCTGTGTATAATCCGACAATTGACGCCAACAATTTGCATAGAGTTACATGGCCGTGTTGAATTTCAAACACGGCCGTGTTCAGTTTGGAGTTGTCCAAAGAGATACACGGTCGTGTTATTGTTACACACGGCCGTGTTCAGGCACATAGTCTGAGGAAGAATTAGGGTTTCACATGGCCGTTTAAGTGGGCCATTTACATACACGACTGTGAAATGCGATTTTTCAAAAATTTTGACAGGTACACGGGCATGGTAATTAGTATATGACCTTGGTCAATTCAATTAGAAGTTTTTAACCCTTCTTCCGGTTGAACGCACAGAGACTCATTTCTATTTTCTCATCCATTTTTACCTTTTCCTGTGACGGCGATGACATATTATCGGCGGACGAGGACAGACGGCGTCTATTTGGGAGAAGTTGAAGTTGGGATTGTGTTTTTTTGTTTGATTATAATGTAATGTGTGGATATATCCATGGTTTTTTCTTCTTCGTAATTTCCTTCTAATTTATTGATTGTTTTTGTTGATTTTAGTTGATAAATCTTTATTTTTGTATTTTTTGTTCGATTTAAAGTATCGGATTATGCTTACATTTTGTTAGAATGATTTTTGGTTGAAGTTATATATTATTTGATTTTTTGGTTGCTTTGCGTGGATATTTTGAGTAATATAAATTTTTGATTTTGCATTTTATTTTTAATGTAGAATAATAATGCCTGGGGAAAAGGGTAAGGCTAAGAGAGTTCGAATAGATGCAAGTTCTTCCGCAACTATTCCGAGGGTGGTGACGGAAGATGATGTCTTAAGTTTTGGTGAATTAAACACGCTAAATGATATGAAAGAATTAAGAGTAAATCATTTTCAAAGAGTAAACATATCGATTGGAATTTTTTGTCTATTTTGGGAATGAGGGAGGATGTAGAGGCTTTAGTTTTGGTTGGGGCGTGGGTTTTTTTTTTGGGATTGTAGAGCCGAGTTATAGAAATTTACTTTAGAGTTTATGTCAACTCTTGATTATGGATCGGTGAACTATAATTACGAAAAACCTAAGACTTTGACGTTTAGCTTACTGGAAAAGATGTTTTTGATATCACTGGCCGATTTTTCAGTGATAATGGGTTTATATTAACGAGATTTTGTGGAATCAGATGACTTCCAAGTCTTATCTATTCTTATGTCTATTCAATATGCCGTGTACTGGTCCCAAATTAGCACCGAAACAGCTTACAATTTTGCACGTTCTAAGGCATCGACTCTTTGGTACCTGCCACTACGGTATATACATTATATTCTAGCTCACTCACTTTCCGGTCGGGGCAAGAGCACTGGGGTAGTTTCAAATATTAATTTATGCTATCTTTGGAGTATGGTAGAGCGCCTGCTTATAAATTTTGGTTTTATGCTTGCTCGAATGATACATCAGGTCGAGGACGACCATTTGGGGAAAATCTCTCTTGGCCCGTATGTTACTCGACTCGCAAAGGGCCTTCGGCTTTAGAGAAAAGATTGATGATCCGATTTATGTTATGTAGCCTTGCGGATTTTGCACGCTATAGATGATGGGTATGGTTAAGAAGATGACAAGGGGAAGAGTAGATAGATATGTATTGCCTGATAGGGTTGATGGATCGGTAGATGGGGGTGATCAACTTTTCAGTGATCAGGGCGTGCCATCGGGTGATCAGCCGCACCGCATGGTTCAGGATACCATGCTCGACAAGTCAGCCATTGATGACTTACGCATGAATATGTATAGCCATATGGGCGATTTGCAGATGGAGGTGCATCGCCAGATAAACGGTATGCGGTTGGAAATGAGATCTTTATTTTCGCGTATTTTTCAGCATCTCTTCATTCCTGTTCCACCAAACGATAGCGCTCTTCATGCATCTACACCGGGACACGGCGATGTCACAATTGATATGCTTTGTTTATGGATCATCTAAGCAGAAACGAGGACGGGTAGCTTTCTATTTTTTTTCTTGTATTTTGTTTTTAGTATGTAATGATTTTTTTTTTTGTTTTAAATATGTATTATTCCTTAAAGTAATCTAAAGACTGTTGTTTAGATTATCCTTACTAATTTTAATTCAAACTTCAAATTTCAGTAATATTTAAGTTTTAATTAACTTTCTTAAATTCATTATACGAATTTAAATATATATATATTAAAATTTAATCTCTAGACAGAAAGATACATGCCTTTGATAAAATCTCACACGGCCGTGTAAAATACGAGGGAGATAACAAAATTAAATGACCTAACACGGCCGTGTGACAACACAACATGAGTACATGGTCATAAACCTATACCACGACCATGTGTACCACCATACCCGGCCGTGTTTCATCGCGGGAATTGACCGTTCAGATGAACATGGCCGTGTTCATGTAGACACACGGTCGTGTATGTACACAACCAGGAAACATGGCCGTTGGACTATTACACAGTCATGTTAAGTGAAACATGGCCATGTAGTGTGACTGGCGGATGCTGACTTGTAGGAATACGGGCGTGTAGGATAGTACACGGCCGTGTTCATTCCAGGTCATCCGCCACGTCAGCTTCGTTAAGTCCACGTCAATATTTTTTGTCGGTTGGTTGACGGTGGAACAAAAAATGATGAGTTTTGGTTATATTGTGACCAAAATTGATGAATTTTAGTTATATTGAGACAAAAATGATTTTTTTCCCAATAAAGACAATACAATGTCATACTTTAAAGGGTGAAAATGTAATTTTAAGTAGTCCTTTTTCATTTAATTTCTTTTTCCTTCCATTGAAATGTTAAAATTCTCCCAAGAATTCTGATTCCCAAATTTGGGTTCCATTCTGAATTCTTTGTGTTGAATATTGTCCACATTGCTAAATGTGTGGGAACTCCCCTAATATATATTAGGGGGTGAAGGTTCACTCCACCTATAATCAATTGGTTTTAGGTTGAATGCCCGGATCCCTTCTTAACACATCGGTTCTATCTTGAAAAACTTTCGGTGTTCGTTTTAAGAATCTGCATACAACGTGGTGCTTGAATTTGTGATCTGATTCGATTTCTTATTCAATCTACTACTACAACTACTACCGTACGTACACTTTCCGATGGTTCACAACGGCCAAAAAATCAACAGTGAACCTCAAGTCCAATTCAAACCTCCTTTAACAAGTTGAGCTTTAAGTATGCATAACAGCTCTAATTGCACTAACCACCAACCTTCCATCCCAAAAACTTTCCTTATTACACAGTATTAGTGAGGAGTGTTTGTACATATAACAATGCAATTGGAATTAATCATAATCATGTCGGTTTCCAAACTGCAAGCAATTCTTGGAACACCTCTACCACAAGTTGGGGATCAGCTTTCCTCAAGAAATCATTCATCCCATCTCTAGTATCGTAAATTTTGCCGAAATCAATCAGATACATCAAGCAGCCTTCCTTCAGCTTACTCAGCTGGTGCAGCCAAGCCTGCTGCAGCCGTTCCAGCACGTTCCCGGAGTTGATGTCTTCAACAAGGCTGTCGATGCAGGCATCCTTCAAGTCTCCCATATCGTACTTGTTTGCGGCGCCCAACAATGCCAACCGGTGCTTCCAGAATTCTTCCTTGTTCAGGGATCCATACAGGTAATGAAGAAGCGCAGAGCAGGACTCGCTCGTCATGTCTTGGATATCAATGGTGGAGGAGGACAATGACGACGATGACCATTCTCTATCATTTAGATCATCGGGCTCGAACATGCTGTGAAAAACAGGGGAGCTCGAAGAGATGATTGCTCTGTGGGCTTGCAGCTGCCCATCAGCAGTATTGATGGTAACATCTGTATGAATGGTTTCGTCGAGCATTCGAGAGAGGCATCTCAGGCTGGTTTGTGCTGCTCGATGCTGCATTGTGCCATTGCTATCGCCATTGCCGGGCCATATTGAACTTCTCTCTCCCCCCTGAGATGAGATTCAGATGAAGGATCTTATGGTAAGTATCATATGATCATGTTCTTAATTTTACAGAAACTGCTGTACAAAGCTCACATTCGGAGAGGAGATTTTAAGGTCCATAAACTCGACATCAATGACTAAACGAGCTTGGCCGTTCACTTCCACAGGGCAAGAGAAGTCATCTTTCGTTCGTAGGAGTCTCTCTTGAACTGCAACCAACGTATATATGGATATATATATATATATAGCAAAAATGCGATCGAATGAATCCTAAGATCAGGGACAAACAGCCAAGATTCAGTGGTGACTGATATTACCGGGGAAGACGAAGGATCTGTAATTGGAGCTGGGGATGGTGACACGTAAGACGAACCGGGCAACGGGCGGCTGCTCCTTGGAAACCCGGGACGGTTCGGGGAAAAGCCGGATGAATGTAGACCAGCTCCTCTCCACTAACAAGTGCCTAGGGTTTCATTGATTGAGATGGATAGATCATCGTCATCATCACGCAGGCAGGCAGGCAGGCAATGGCAGAGTACAGTACATTACAGTACAGACTGAAGAAATAACACATGCTTAATTAATTAATTCCCAGATAGGTATCGTGTGCATACCAATTCCATATCCCCATTTTGAAAAGATCGGATCTTTTGTAAGCAGTTGTTGGCCCGAAGCTCTCGATTTTCCACTGGGCATGTCTGGCAATGGTTTCCACCTTTGAATCGCCCATCTCTCCGCTGTGGGGCGATGATCGAAGGTTAACGGCTTTTGACTTCTGATAATCCATGGTTGTATATTTTCTGGATTATTTATTTATAACTATTACAGTCTCTGCAAATCCTGTCAAGTTTCAGTTTTTTCTTGGTAGATTAGAATGTCAATCGGCTGGATAGCTTAATTAGAGTACTGAGTGACCATTGAATGCTCTTATATTCCAACCAAATCTTGAATTTCTATGGCCCTTATTGGATCACCACCGAATTGGATTGTTCGACCTAGACTAGACATGTCCAAAACAGAGCCTGAAGGTTGCCTACACCAAAACCAGCCCATTAAGAGCAAATTTTTAGGGCAACTACAAACTAGGTCTTCAGATTTAGTCCATATGTCTAGAATTCATCAGTAATGAAATTAAGCCCAATTCAGATTTCAGAATCTACTAGACACGCTACTTGGTGACCTAAAATAGTTGAATTTCAGAAGATTGTGATGATTTCTATAGGTAGAATTTTGTGGGGGACATGTATATCCATCTAGTGATTCTGTTTGCAACTTGCAAAGGAATAGAGAGCATGATCATGTTTTGATGTTTAACCTAATTGTCCCTTTAATTTTAACCATCAAACTGACTTTGTGGATATACCATCACGATGAGAAAGAGAGAGGGATGGATAAACAACAAATAAATGGTGTAGAAAGGAAGCATGTGGGACTGATGGCAAAGAAAAGGTAAAGGAAGAAAAGGGTGATGCATGATAATCTTTATTCAGAAGCCTACATGTTTGCACATATTATTGAATTCCAGCTTTCGAATCAGGTATGGACTCTTGCAATGTGTTGTGACAAAACAATGTATGTGGCTTTTTTTTGGAGAACATCTTTTGACTTGATCCTTAACTACTGATGGAACAAAAACCAAATAAAGCTGCTGCCCTTTGTTATGTATGTTCTTGATTATGTAAGTGGATGAGATGGGAGGTGTCCCCCATTGCTGTCATTATTCCTTTTCATTGCCTAATTATTGAGTTTCTGCTTTATTCATCTTAGAAACTATGAATTATGCATACTTTTTATAGGAGACATGCTTATCATGCAGCTTAGATTTGAAAAATCGTAGGTGATTAGGTCTCTATCTTTTTCGATGCTGCATTAATTTCCTAAGCCAATAAATGGTTCCTCATTGATCCACTAGCTGGTTTTTCTAAATTAGTGTAGAACAGTGATTGTTCCTAATTTTCAGTTTATCGACTGGCAGGCAGAAATCCATAGCGTGGAAGTCTATTTTTGTTGTGATGTGGCTTCAAAATTTTAGTGGTCTTGCTTCTCTTATTGTTCAATCATTGTCAGATTCATGTTATTTTGTCAAGAGAAAAGGTTGCAACACATTTTGGTTCTTAGCTAGTGAGGCTGCATAGATTAGAAGTCGAAATGTAAGTGATTGAATAAGAACAAAACTGTAGTTTAGGACAGATGGGGAGTTTTTAGCAAACTAATAAATTGTTTGTTCGAATGAGTTGATAATGAGCTTTCCCTAATAACTGCGTATGGTGGTCCTGTTTTGATTTGTCCTATTGCTTAGCTAGAGAGAGCCAACAGAGGGAACACACTGCCCTACAAACTTCTTTGTTAGTATTGAATGATGCAAGTAAACTAACTCACGTAATAGCACTTTGCACATGGTTGCCATCCCTCAGTTTCCACTTGTGGGAATAAAGGACATAATTTATAATGCAAGAAAAGAAAACACATCGTTTGGACACCAGGAAAAACTCCCACACATTCTTGTTTCATGTCACAAACGTGTTTTAACTGAGTCGTATTATATTTTTGCTTGGAAGACGATAGAGGACAAGATTTTAGAGAAATTGTGTGGCCCTTGTGCTTCTTATGTTTCCTTGTGTGAGCACCGAAAGTTGGACTTATAGTTGTCTACTTGTTGAACACTCTTGATGTCACTGATAAATGGTTTGAATTTGATGAACACTCCTGATGTCACTGATTCTATGTTTTGAAATCCTCTGATTCGAACACAATATGATGTTTTCTTTTATATCACACATTTCTTCTTCATGTTTGGCCTAAAAATGAAATTCGATTTCATACTTAGGCACACAGTATACACACAAAATGGGGAGTTGCAAGAATAGCTCAAAGTCCTCTTCCTATTCACAGCCCTAGTGATCTTTACTTCTCTTCTTTGCGAGGGTCTTAACCCAACCATATTTAACCCTGGTTGCTTCCAGCTTTGTGCCCACATGGCAAACATTGCCTTTGCTGGACCTCTTTCGTCTGACAGCATGGAAGAGGTGGCCTATCCGTCTTCGCCACCTTGGCAAGACGCGTGGCTTTGCATGCTCAACGACACCCTTGGCATTCTTAGCAATGCCCCAACTTTTTCTCAAGGACATGTCACACTGCAGATCATGGGGCCTTTTTTTACTCTCCCTGCCCCATGAGGCAACACCATTGTCTTCAAATTTGATTGATATAAACGAGTCTGCATTTGCCAAATTTCTGAGTCATTATGTAATAAACTATTCCATATGATCAATAGTTCAATACTACATCTTTTTCGTTCTTGAGGAAAAACGTAAGCTTAGAGATACAATTATTTGTTGTACTCATGGCCTTAACCTTTTTAAAACTGTTGCTTTTGGACTCATTCTCCTACCAATTTATTTACAACCTTCTTAAGATTAGTTTAATCATTTACTGTACTGCTCAATAATATTCACTAACTCATCATCCCATATAACCTACAATACTAATCTACTATGTTTAGACAAGAGACTTTTGGGAATTTTGGAGTTTTGAAAATTTGAAAATAGTAAAATGTTAGTATTAAATGATAGTTTTTGAGAAAAAATATATATATATATATATTTGATATGATATTTTTAAAAAGTTAAATAGTGCTAAAGTCTTCAAAGTTGTTGCGTAAAAAATGAAGTCAGCAGTGAATTATCTTACCAAATAGTCATAATGAGACAGCTGAATTGTTCAGATAGAACAGGTTATTAGTCCCATCTTTATCATGCATTCATTGCTGTTTTCTATCTATCATCCATCATTGAATACTCTCTCATCCTTTACCACTTCCAGGAAAGAATTGAATGTATGTAGAATATTAGAGAGAGAAAAGAAAATAACGAAAAAGGTAAGAAAGAAAAACTGACCTTCTGGACTGCAGGTTGATGAACTCTGAAGATACACATCATGATGTTGATGATCATCATCAGGTTGATGTGGTTTGACATCGAGACGATTGAGCAAACTTGTTAGAGCCAAGATCTTTGGGATGGTTATAGGCGATTTTCTTGGCGATGCAGTAGTGTGTGATCGATGCAGGTTGGCTTGTTTGGATGCTAAAACTAAGAGCCTTTCATTCAAACAGAAAGCACAAACCCCTACAACCAATTCAGTGGGATGAAAGCAGCACAATGGCCTGTCATCTGATCTGCACTGCACCTCATTCATTCTTCACTTTCAAGAAGAAGAAGAAGAAGAAGGGGTGTAAACACAAGACAGATGAAATATATAAATGTATATATGTATGATGTAGGGGGGGAGGGGAGGGGTGTTGAAGGGCTTGAGAGGCTCCACGTGTGTTGTCTCATGGTCTCAACTCATTTTAAAAGGACTGGTGCTTTTACAGCACAGTTTGGATCATTTGTGGAAAGACAATACATATATGTGTATGTATGTATGTATATATTTGTTGTAATAGATGAATGAATGGTGAAGGGTTAACAGTGCAGTGCAGAACATGATTTTGTCGATACAATACAACTGGGAGATGAAATAGTGAATTTGTGTGTTGTATAAGGTTGGTTGGTTGGTTGGTTGGTCTCGTATATATGATTGAAATGTTTTTGATAGGAATGAATGATAAGAATAGAATGGTCCTATTGCAAATTCATGGTGATGTCCACTGATTAGTTGGTGTTTTTATTGTCCATCACCCACTTACATTATGAAATGAGAGATATTTGAACTGGTCAGGACCATCATATAGCCTTTGTGAGTTTGTTTCCTTGCACATGTCATCTTCATGATCTCAATACTCACTTCCATTTCTATATTCTTGGAATTGAAAATTAAATCTGACTTTTCCCAATTCACTCTTTGTAGCCCATTTATATTTAGAGAAAAGTTAGGGTATTGATTAAGGCTAATAAGCCCACCCATGTTTTTCAATAGTAGTGTTGGTTTGAGAGGTTTCTATTGGGAGAGAAGCTTTTTTCGACTCTGGCCAGTTTCCTTTTTATTTTTGTTTCAATTTTTATTTATGTTCTTTTAGCTTCTAGATCTAATGATATTATTTGTTTGTGAAACGAACCTGCCTCATTTTAACTTCTGCTTTGATTGTATTCAGCTTCTGTAATTTTGCAGTTTGTGCCAAGGTGGTGCTGTATTGAAGCTCGCCATACTCGGTGTCCATCATACAAGCAAAGCTGCTTTGATGATCCTCTGAAGATGTGCTTCGTTCTCGTGTATATATTTCAAAAAGGCATATGATAACATTGTTTATTTGAATAAATGTGGAAGGTACATACATATATGCATGCCATTTATACAAATGGTGACTTCTAAGATGCGGACTGTCGAATGAAATATCAAACCTTTCTCGTCTTTTTCATCTGTTTTAACCTCTCACCCACATTAAATTTGAAGGTAAAAGTAGTAGCAAGGTATTCAAATCCTAGGGGATTTTAGCTCCTCTCCCTTTCCTCGATAGTTTGACATTATTGTGTCTATTTGAGTGAGAGAAGAATTGGTACAAGAACGTCTTTTAAAAACAGGGCAATTGACAGACAGCAAGCGCCTCCCTGACCCGATTGATGGCTTATCCTCGCGAGATTATTTGCCTGACTTCATTTGCCAAATCGGAGACATGGTTGTCTTCACATCCTGGAGTCCAAAAATGACACAACATCTTAAGGTAAATGGAGAAATTGCAGCCTGGAGTTGTAATGATAAATGTCGGCATTACCTATTTGTTTGAGGGCATTTTCCAGTTTGAAGAGGTATTCCCTGTTTGGTCCTGAAGGACCAGTTGCCGCAGCTATTTGGCTGCATAATGGAAAGCATTCGACAATGAATCAGGCAAAGGTTCTTACAAAATATGCGTGGAAAAAAGAACACATACGCGGCAATTTCTTGGAGGGGGGCAGGTCCCAAATAGTTCACATTAAGCTTCTTGTCTGCAGATCCTATGTATCTGAAACATCGAGACAGAGACAGAGATAGAGATAGAGATAAAATGGCGACACAAGGAATGAACAATCGTCGTGTAATAAGAACTTACACCAAGACATTGGAGACAGCAGGTGTCGAAGAATCAGGGTCCTGAAAACATGTGTGCCATCACCAGCAGTTGGATGTATGAAATCTTTCTTGAATGATAAATGTGTGGAAATCCAACCAGAAAAGGAAGGACCAACAGACAGACAAATGCTTACAGTGAAGAAATCGACATAAACCTTCTTGTCATATTGCTTCTCCCTTACTTCAAGATGCTACACAAGAATTGCAATGCAGAGGAAAGATTTATTATTATTGTTCTTATTATTATTCTGTGTTGAAAGTAGTAGTACACCAAAGCGCAGATTATCAAGTACCTCTAGAGCAATGTGTTGATCTTCCTTGCTGGTTATTTTGTAAGCAGCACCCCACTTTTAGCCGTAGCCACAGACAAGACATGGAAGGAAATACGTGCAGTAAATATAATTCACAGATAGATGGAATATTAGGAAATGCATCACAATTAATACTCAGAGAATGGAATGTTTATTTGGTTTACTCATTCTAAGGAGTAAAGATAGATGAAGAAGAGAAGCATTTCATGGCAGGCAGAGCAAATGAATGAATCCTAAGCTATGGATGATATTAATTAGTTAAGATCTGAGAAACAAACTGACACATTTTTCCCCCTTGGCAGGCTCCAACGTGACTGTCCTGCCTGGAAATTCTGGAGTCCCTCGATGATCAGTGCTTCCTGCATATTCATTCATTCATGATTTGTGAGGAAAATGCATAATAATCGATGATCTTCCACTGCCTCAAAATCAAAATCATACATAAGGAAGGAAGGAAGGAAGGAAGGAATTGCAGAGAAACCGACTAAGTAACGAACCTTGGTAGAAGACACGGCGGTAGTCCTTGATGAAACCCACGACGCGTTCGTCGTGCGGAAACCCTGATTTCCAAATCAGCGACCCGTACCCGAATACCCACATCGCCATTTTTTTGCACTAGATTGATTGCTGACCCTACCCACTGTCTCAGTTGGTCTTCTCCGCCTCGCGCAGTGCAATTGAAATTGAAATCGAAAACGAAATCTCACTCACAGTGCTAAAACAATACATACATACAACACGACAGGAATATGACACGCAATGGAAAATGCTTTTCACCAATCCCTCTTGTTCTCGAGGAAATCGAATCGAATCAAAAGAAACACATGTCAGCAAGCAGGTGGGTAATTCAGTTGATTTATGATTAGCCATAGCCAGCCCATTTACGTTACTTTGGACTTGATACATTTTTATCCAGAATTATTCAAACCAAGCCCAATTCTTGGCCTCACCCCCTATCCTATCCTGGTAAGAAAATATGTCCCAAGTTTCCATCTTATATAAAGTATGTAAGCATTCATTTTGATTGAACATCAGATCAGATCAGATAAAGGGTATTATTGTAGCACATGCCACTGTTCAGTTATACAAGAAAGAGATTTATGAAGGAGGGAAGATTGGTAATCTGTTCTTCTAATTGTTCATCAAGTCAAGGGTCTTCCATCTGAAATGATTTCTTGTTAGATTTCTGAGTGAGTGGTTCAGGATTGCCCTCCATAGCCGGTTTGTCCACTACAGGCAGTTCTTGGGCTTTGTTGTTGTCTTCTTCTTCTTCTTCACATGAGAGCTTAGCGTTATTGTTGTCTTTGCACTTCCCCCAAACCACACAATACAGCCCACAAACTATAATGATTCCTCCAATTAAGCTGCATCAATTGTTTAACAAAACTGTAAAATCTGATAATGGTGTATGTATATATCTCTAGGTATATACGTACCTTCCGAGATGAAGTTGTTCCGACAAGACAATGGCTCCTAGGACAGCAGTGATGATCATTATGAGAGGGCTAAATGCCGTCACGAAAACAGGGCCTTGAACCCTGTTCACTACTCCCTGCAAGTAATACGCCATTCCTGAGCAGACAATGCCCTGCAATTCAATCACAAAAATGATATGATATGATCACCATTAGATATCATTCAGACAATTACAAGAGTTTTTGAAGTCATGTATGTGTACGGACAGAGTAAGTAGCTGCAAGCAGCCTTGAATCAAAGCCAATAGCCCAAGCACTCTTTCGTCTCTCCATGATCACCGCCACGACGGCGCCTTGGATCGTTCCGGTCAGGCATACTAACGACGTCAGAGACAGCTCCGCCGGATACTCCTTCAGGGTGTGATTCTGATCATCGATATGATATTCGTTCAAATCATTCATTCGGAGTTTGTACCATAAATAAATTAAATTTGGGTTGGTTCATTGATTAATAATTAATTACTTGCAAGATGAAGAAGGTGGACCAGCCGATGATACAGCTGAGGAAAATAAAGGTGCCGGGGAGCCAGTGTTGATTGGCGGCGGCGGAGACGGTGGCGCTGCGGTGGCCGCTGCCGTGGGAATACCAGAAGATGTCGATGATGGGGCCCTTGTAGAGTGTCATAAGCATTGCCCCACTCACTGTTATTAGTGTGCCAATCACCTTGGCGATGCTGTGCATCTTTTTCAAATTAACCTTTTCCAGCCTAATTAATTAATAGTACTATGATTCGTTATTAATCTCACCAAAACTAAAACAAATTAAATAAAAAGAAGCACGAAAAAAATGACATAGGATAAGATAATATGGATGCAAAGTAACTCATCAACCACTCAGTCTCAGTGTTTGATTAATGGTTTCCATTCAGATTCCAACATTACAAACTCTAAGAATCAATATATATAAAAGGTGTATTTGATTGGTGATTTTACAAAGATTTTATGATTTTTTTATTATTATTATTATTATTATTATTATTATTTTTTCAAACATTTCAAACCCCAACCAATCACACTTGACCCTGTTAGATAATATATGTATGACGTATATAGAGTGTATCTACTTTGTAATTTCTTTTAGTTTATTATTATTATTTGAATATTACTTATTCTATAAATAGATTATATTAAAAGAAAAAAAATCAATAAACAGAACCATCTTTTTGAATGATATATATACCCTCAAACTCAAGAAGTGAGAATCTGTGTTTCTAGGTATAACGGTCTTTAAAATAAAACGTGTATATTAAATCTATTATTGGATATATATATATATATAGTGGTACTATTTTTTTAATTAAAAACTATGAAAATATATAACAAAACAATTGAAAAATAAAATGAAAAAGGAGGAAACTTATATGGAGTAGTATTTAAATTAGATGAATAATAGTAAAATAAAGTAAGCAGGTACCTGAAAATGAGAGCCATTATGAAGGTGACAGCAGGAAGAACATTAGTCATAGCTGATGCAAAGGTTGCTGAGGTGTATTGCAGTCCAACACAGTACAGGTTCTGATCCAGCACTGGCCTAATTATATTTAATTAATTCGTATTATATCATAGTATAATTTAATATTCATCTTTAATTAGTATATATTCTTGATAAGCAATTACTAATCAAGTATGACATACTCCAAGAACCCAAGAACTGTAATCTTGAAGAAGATGGATTTTGTCATCTGGGGCCTCACTTTCCTGCATTAATTAATTAATTAATCAATTATTATAATCATATATATATAGTGATCATCATCAACAAATTAACTAACTGCATAGCATCATATATATGAAGAAAGAAGATAATTAATTACGTACTTTTCAAGAAAATAGGCGAAAGGGGCGATGACGATGGTGGCAACAGCGTGGCGATAGACGACGAAAATCCAATGGCTGAATCCACGGTTCAAAGAAACAAGGGTGATGATGAACATTCCAGCATACCCAAACTGCAGAGAGATCATTGCCACGTAAGGCTTCACTTTGTTGAAACCTGCTCGAATCGCCACCATTGATTCTCTTCCTCTTCCTCCTCCTCCTCCACTCGAACTAATAATCTTTGATTCATCCATCCAATTTTAATTCTGCCAATAATTCTCGATCAGCTATATATATATATATAGATATCGATATGATCTTAATTCTGCCAATTCTATCTCAACTATATATATAGTTAGAGACACACACACATCTATATATATTTATATATGGATAGATATTGAAGGATATTGGGTGTGGGATGAATAGGCTGGGCTAGGGGTGTGTGCCCCTTTTTTAAAACCCTAGAAATTTTAAAAAGCGGAAAAGGGGGAAGAAGGATCACATAGAAATGAAAAGAAAACCCTAACTATGGCGTTGGATATTAACGGGGACGATCACATCATCATGCATGCATCGTGGATATTGCTATGTCATGCCACTCAACTTTTTTCATTTTCTTTTAGTTTATAATTGTTGATGTATTTTTTCAATAATAAAAAAGTAAAATTCAAAAATAGAAAATTATCTTCGAATTTGATATAATTAGTGCATTAGGAATTTTTAAATACTGTACAGTACGAAAAATACACTGGAAAATAAAAGACTGAAAATTTAAATGATGATCCCCGAATCACTGATTTTGTTGTCGTTTGAAGATGATTGAAGATGCTCTGTCAGTTGCAGATCCCAATCCTTAAATATTATTCAGAAACGGTACTTGGAACCGTCGCCCAAACGATTACAACGCCTCCTCTCAACCGTCTGCTAACTCCTCTTTTGCTGACACATGCTCTCAACCGACCAAGCTATTACTCTCACTTGCTCTCCGCAGCATCCGATCTTCACACCAACCAACAATTCGCTCATCCAACTGCGGATCAACCGACTTGCCTATCCGACCACAAACCAACCGACTTGCAGACCATCCGACTTGTTGGTCCGACCGCAGACATTTCGACTTGTTGGTCCGACCGCCAACCTTCCGACTTGCAGACCATCCGACTTGTTGGTCCGACCGCAGACCTTCCGACTTGTTGGTCCGACCACAGACCTTCCGACTCATTGGTCTGACCGCAAACCTTCTGACTTGCAGACCATCCGACCCGCTGACCAACCGACCTGCGTATCATCCGACCTGTAGACTCTCCGACTTGCGGACCTTCCGATCCGCAGACCATCTGACCTTCCTATTTCCTCAAAAAATGCCTAGTTTACCCGATCGTCTTGAAATACCCCCTTAAAGAGTCTTAAAGACCCAATTACAAGCCCGCATCCCCTTCTAACTTGGACTTTTTAACCTAATTATAAATTTCATACGTAAGAATAATATATATATCCATTATATTATTCATACATGTATACAATAATTGGAATGTTTTTTTTTTTTTTTTTTATAACGTGGGAATCGCAGCCGCTATTCAACGAGGGCGTTCTGGATAAATTAATAGTCTTCAAACTAAGCTTGACAAGTTAGTATTAGATGAATCATGTGTGGCAGACAAATTTTGAACCGTCGGGATTTGGACCCATCACCTCACGGTCACAGGTCCATCCCCACACGAACGACCATTTTTTACGGACAATAAATTAGAAAATTGTTATGATCATGGGGTCGAGTCTCTCATAGGGGGAGATGAGGTGTTTAAGGTTGTGGTAGATATGGGAGAACAGGGAGAATAGGGAGAAGAGAGTGAAGTTGCGGTGGTGGATCGGTTGGATGGAGAATGGAGGATCTAGACTTGTGAAGTTGCACACAAATGGGTATAAGAGAATTCTATTAAGCATCTAATTGAGGCCTAGATTCTATGTTTTTATTATAAGGTACTGGGCTTAGACCCATTAGTACCAATTTAATTTTATATTGTAAAGGGTTTACACCCTTAGTACTAGTTTGATTTGTTTTGTTTGATTGGCCCAGCTGCTTGGCATGCTTAAGTATGTAGGGTTTTAGTATTTAAACCCTAAATATTACCTAATGAAATAACAAGAAATATTTCAAACTTTATCTTCAGTTCTCACTTTTAGCTTTTGCACAAAATATCGAAAATTAATTCTCCAGTTGGTTACACTTGGTAATCAGAGCCAGGTTGTTTCTGCAATGGCGGAAGGCACCAGATTCAAGGACCTGGTAGATGCACACAAAAAGCTGGAATTAGAAAATGAAACGAGGGCAGAGAATGAAATCAGAATACAAGAGCAATTGGACCAAATGCAAGCAAGAATAAATAGATCGCAAGCAGAAATAGCGAGATCGCTGGCAGATCTAATCAAATCCCAGGATGAATTCAGAGAATACGTACAAGGTATGTTCGAAAAGCTTTGCAGTTCTTCAACCACACCACATAAATCAACACAACACACAAATAGAGGGAAATATGTTATAGATGATACAAGCCAGTGGAATTCCATAATACATATAGATCTAAAACTGACCCAATGCGTGGTAATTATTCTGGAAGAACTAGATCTAGTATGGGCAGTCATTTATCTATACAAACAACTCCTAGAATGGAATTTCCCCGGTTTGATGGGACTAACGCTAGATCATGGATATTATGGTGCAACAACTATTTCCGGATGACTCAAGAGATGCTGGAAGACCAAAATATCATGTATGCATCCATGTTTTTTTATGGGAGAGCTACAATTTGGTATCAATCATTCATTAAACATAGGCCGCATGCAACATGGCAGCAATTCATACAAGCTCTTAGCTCTAGATTTGAATAACTAAAGATGAATCGGGTGATCGAGGATTTCAAACACTTGAGGTTTACAGGGAATTACACGGACTATGTGGATAAATTCGAAGAGCTACGAGACTATATGAATACCTTGAGACCCACCTATTTCGGAGGAATACTTCATTGCATGTTTCATTGGTGGGCTAACTCCCGAGCTCAAAGCTTCCGTGAGAATGATGAATCCTGTTAACCTGGAGCACGCGATTGAATTAGGCCGAAATCAGCATTAGACAATAGAAGCAATCACCGAGAGGTTAAAGGGGATGCAGAAGCCTTACCTGGCTGGTTTTCACTCATCCCCTGTTGGAAAACCTCAAGCTACAACTGCTCCTGCAAAGATAAATAATCTCAGACCGAACATCAAGTTATTATCTGCAGCCGAGATGGCAGCAAGGAGAGAGAAGGGCCTATGCTTCAATTGTGATAAGAGGTTTACCCCCGGCCATAAGTGCAAACATAGGATATATATTATGTTGAATGACGAATAAGAGAAGGTGTATCAGACAACAGTCCCAACAACACCAATACAACAGTTTGAAGAAGAAGAAATGGAAGAGGTTTAGATTTCACTTAATACTCTAAATAGAAGGGCTGGTAAGGGAACAATGAAATTCATGGGAAATTACCTTGGTCATTCACTTCAGATACTAATTGACACGGGAAGTTCTTTGAGCTTTATTAAGGAGTCCACCGCGGGGGTTCTTCAGCCCAAGACAGAGAAGATTCCAACTACCATTGTGGTGGTTGCAAATGGACAAAAGTTAGTAAGTGATAAAGCCACTTCTGACTTTAAATGGGAAATTCAAGGGAAGGAGTTCACTCACCCTTTGAGGCTTTTGCATATGGAGGGCTTCGACATGATTTTAGGCTGCGATTGGGTGGAAGCTCACTCCCCAATCAAGATCGACTACCAGAAAATGATTGTAACTACCAATATACAAGGTAAGAAGGTTAGATTGCATGCCAAGGGTAATCATTCAAGGTGTCACATGATCACACAACAATCCTTGTACAAGCTCTTGAGCTACCCTCGGGATCCTGAAGTAGAAGAGGTGTATCTGATAACTCCACCTGAAGCTTCCGTACCTGCTCATCCAGAGTTAGATCAGTTGTTAGAGGAATATAAAGATATCTCTCAAGAACCCATAGGCTTACCCCCAAGCTGTGGTGTTGAACACCATATTCAATTCAAGACTGGAAGCGAGCCACGGAGGCAACATCACTACAGGATTTCACATAACCAAAAAACTGAAGTTGAAAAAATAATTAAAGAACTGTTGGAGGCCGGGGTCATCAGGCACAACAAAAGTCCTTTTGCATCCCCTGTTTTGCTAGTTAAGAAGAAGGACGGCTCGTGGAGGTTATGTGTGGACTATCGGTATTTGAATAGTCTTACCATTAAGCACAATTATCCTATACCGGTTATAGATGAGTTGTTGGATGAGCTGTACGGATCCAAGATTTTCTCTAAAATCGACCTAAGGGCGGGATATTTTCAAATTTTGATGAATCCCGATCATACCTACCCGACTTCATTCAATACGCATCAAGGGCATTACGAGTTCAATCTTATGCCGTTTGGGCTATGCAATGCCCCGGCCATATTCCAGTTCTTGATGAATCAAGTATTTGAAGAACAACTCAGGAAATATGTTTGGTTTTCTTTGATGATATACTTATATACAGTAAGTCATGGAAGGAACATCTACAACATTTGGGAGTAGTCTTTGGGTTATTGCATGCTAATAACCTATTTGCTAAGAAAAGCAAGTGTCAATTTGGACAGTCAAGCGTGGAATATTTAGGACACGTGATATCAGGCCAAGCAGTAGCCACTGATCCTCATAAGATTTCTGCTATGGTGGATTGGCCGAGCCCTAAAACTATCAGAGAATTGTGGGGGTTTTTGGGCCTAACCGGTTACTACAGGAAGTTTGTGCGAGATTACGGTAAGTTAGCTAAACCACTTACTAATCTGCTAAGGAAAAATCAGTTTATTTGAAATGAAAGTGCAGAGATGGCATTTATGCAACTGAAGACAGCCATGGCTACAGCACCAGTTCTAGCATTACCCGACTTCTCTCAACCATTTGTGGTGGAAACTGATGCAATCAACAGCGGGTTAGGGGCTGTATTGATGCAGAATGGTAAGCCTATTGCTTTCATGAGTAAAGCACTTAGTGTGCGCAACCAGAATCTATCCATATATGAAAAAGAATTTATGGCAGTCCTTATGGCTATCCAAAGGTGGAAACACTACTTAGGAGGAAACAAGTTCATCATTAAAATAGATCAACAATCACTTAAATATCTGTTTGAGCAACGGCCGGTTTCACCATTGCAACATAAATGGATAAGCAAGTTGATGGGTTTTAATTTTGAAATCCATAATAAAAAGGGGGTTGAGAATAAAGCAGCTAATGCTTTATCTTGGGTTAACAGTTCAGATGTTCTGGCAATTTCCATCTTAATACCAGACTGGATTAAGGATGTTATTGCAAGCTATCAAGGGGATGAATTGGCTAATGCTATCATCAAGGCCAAGGAGACACTTGATCAATCTTACT